AGGTAAATAGTATAGACAAGAATAATTCTACCCACATGACATGGCTGCAAAGAGAAAGTAACCCTAATTTGCTTCTCAGTGTATAGCTGTAGGCATGTATGTTGCTCAAAAGAGTGTATTTTTAAAAGTGTTACTGCTTAACAGGTTTATAGGTTAGATAAATCTAGCTCTTAGCATCCAAAGAGCTTCATCTACTTTGCTGACAGCTATTGAACCCAGGACAGATAGGAAGTCTGGAAATAGGAAACTTAACCAGGACAGAGCACTAACAAAGTTCAGCTCTTCCATTCTACATTATGATCTCAGTGTGCACACAGGCTGCTTTCCTGCTTCGTTGCTGGCTCAGCCAGAGCTTGGAGGCTGCATGCCACAGCCTTCAGTGCAAACGTATGCTAACTCACTAGAAACTCACTAGATTTGTAAAGCAAACTTAGGCAAAAGGCCTTCCCATGCATTAGAAACAGGTTTTAAAGTGTTCTGGATATTTGAAATGACTTGGAAGTACTTCCCATTAAAGGATTAGAGGAAAACAAACAAACAAACAAAAAACCCTCAGGCACTCATCACTGCACCCATACCACAGAATGTCTAAAAAAACCCAAACAAACAAAAGAAAAAAGGAAAGATGTCAATAACACTGACCACTGAATTACTTCCTAATCAGCTTTGTTTCTAACTCTTCTTTTGAAGGGAAAACTTGCTCCCCATGGTACAGCACTAAGCTGCTGTGAGGAAGATGATGTAGCCCTTACAAAATAGCACCTCTCTCCCACCCTGTTCTCTTTTTAGTGCTTTATAAAGCTATAGTACTAGTACTTTATACATAAGAACAGACCCTTCCTTAGTTGCTCAGCAGACTGGGTGCTGATAAATGCTCATATTTTCACTTAAGGTCAACACTGAAAGCTAGATCATCTGTGTGCCAGTGAGTTCTTGACACAAGAGCAATACAAAAACATGTCCTGGCCTAAAAACAGGCTTTCTGAAGCTGCAGATCTTGGCTTGGGTAGCATCTGTGCAATGAAAAGAGACAAGCTTATTAGAACTTGACACTGAGAGGTTTTAAGTAACAGAATGGACTATCATTTTAAATAAAATTACATCATACGCATTATAATATTTTACACTTTTATTAAAAAATATATATTCCAAGTCAATGCATCAGAAGCATACAAACAGTAGTACTATGTCATTAGTAAGAAACTTTGGAAAGGTTGAAGTTTTGTATTGAAAAAAAAAAAAAAAAGCTGAATTTCACTTCATTCGCACTTCAAGCAAAACTTAATAAAGAATTAAGTGCTAAAGGCACAAGGTGCTTCCAGTGCTTATTGGAAGCCACACCGATACAAGCCAGACCTGAACTGACTCCAGCCCTTTCCATTCAGTTAGTCACTAAAGGAAAGTCTATGAGAGCTTCATGCCATGGCAGTGAACCTGAAAATTAGTGAGGCAACTTTCAACTTGTCCTCCAAGCAGTGCTAACTACATCACCCGAAAAATTTCCAACCCTGACCTAACTTTACTGCACATAAAACGTTTACCAAAAGCAATCCCTCAGTGTCACAGCCTTTCTCCTTAATTTAGCATTTAAGCCTACCATTAGGTAAACTTCTAATTTCATTTAGTACTAAAGTAACAAAGCACAGTAACTAGGTTTATTCTACTGTTTACAAGAATCAATCACATGCTGAAGACTATTCTGCAAATAATCACTTAAAGCTAAAACATGAGAGACCTTCATATTTTCTGTGAACTCCCATGGAAGAAAGTGTTGCTCACAAGGGAGCTGAGGTGAGCACCTCCCACCATTTGAGTAACATCCATCCAACAAGAACCACACTGCAAGGCTCAGAAATAAGGCAACTGCATGCATACTGCTGGATATTAAGTAACAATCTTAACCTTTTAAGAAAGTGTAAGAAAAAGCAGTAAGTTGATCTACTGAGTACCAAAAGACTTTAAGAAGCCTAAAGAGCAAGTACAAAAACTAGTTGGTCATGAGGCTGCATGCACGACATGCAGGTGACTATTCTGAACACAACGCCAAAGAAAGCTTGGGAATCCTTCCGGACTAGTCTATAGAGTAGCATGTTAGTGAACTAATAGTAAAAAATGAGACATTATACAATGAGAGAATTCCACAAGCCCTCCCTTTTTCACAGTATTCGTCTGTCTTTGAAGTACATGAAAGCCCATAAGGCAGTGCTCATCCTGCCATTTGATTGACATACTTGAAATGCAAAGACTGAAAGTGGATCTGACTGCGGGTAACTCAATTCACAACAACAATCCACCAAAACAACCCAACCCAAAACACCCAAGCCCATGACCGTATCACACCTTATAATCCAAACCTTACAAAAAAGAAATAAATTAAGGCTTACAAGAACTGCTTTTCAGAATGCAATCATTTTTCTCTGTTTTTAAATGCTACTCTTGTTAATGCTTTCGTCGTCCTTTTTTTTAATCACACTTTCTTCTATGTAAATAGAAATTCATGAAGCTTGGCAGAGTGTCACAATCTTTTACCATGAATTAAGCAACACAAACATTTATAAATCCCAAGTCTCAGCCTGGGACTTGGGTCATCTTTGTATACCTATACACTATTTCAGCACCCCAGCATAGACTCATAAAACATACTGTTTTCAACCCAAATACAGTTTACGCAAGCCCAGTGGCAACATTCTCAAATTGTGACAACAGCAAATTGATTCCAAGACAGAGAACATTTCTTTACCGCTCAGGTCAGAAAACAGCAACCTATCTAGAGATTGAACTTTAGAAGTTTACCTCTGCATCATATCTGACAGCAGCAGAGAGCAATGAAAATGCGTTTTCCACAGTAATTCCTCTCTTGATAATGTGTTGACATAGCCTTTTCAGTCTATTTTCACAATAAGAAGTAGCCAAATCCAGAAGCCCTGCAATCAAAACGCCATCATATTAGCCCCTTGCAATCACCACCTCTTGGAACAACAGCGTGTGCTCCTAGAGTAGAGGTTCCACCTCTGTGTTCTATGCATGTGGGTCACTACAGAGCAAATCCTATCTTACCATTGTGCAGGAAAAAAAGGCCTTTTATTATATTAAACTGCAATCCTGTTAATCTCTGCAAATACACAAGCTGTTCCCTTGATTTGCCTACCTAATTGTTTGCAGGAGTAGAACTGTTGCAAAACGGACACTGCGCACAAATGAAAAGCCTCCACTATTAAAAAAATCCATACTTGCATTACAGCTTGCTCTTTGCTCCACTGCCCATGCTGTTACATCTACTAGGAATTTTTCATATTATCTTAACCAATAATTCATTTTAGTAAAGTATGCAGATATTTTAATCGAGAGAAATACAGATTCTCCTTCACCTTTGAGCAACTCACAGTTTATTCCCAAGTACGCACTATTTTTTGCTGTAGTAAACTTGCTACAGCAGTATTTTTCAAACAACTTTATTAATCCTCAACAAATTTCTTATAGGCTACACTAGAAGCCTCTTTGTATACATTTACTCTGCATCCCTCTTCTCAGTTTCCCTGGCTCCTGCTTCAAAAATAACATGACCAGCAGCAATACCTATAGCGTCCTCGGGTGGGAGGTCCACGCTGTCTGTGTACAAGTACTCCAGAAAGGCCCGATACACAGGGTAAGAGAACTGGTCTATTTCTATCACCTCCTTCATGTCCTCATTCCAGTATGACTGGAACATGGTTCTGAAATGCTCACACCTAAAAGGCAAAGACATCACCGAGAACACTTATTTTTGTATATAGATTATTTATATTTATATATTCCCCCAGTACAAGTCCCCAGTACAATGTCTAGAAGCCCAGACATTGAGCTTCTAGAGAGGGTCCAGCAGAGAGCCACAAAGATGATTAAGGGACTGGAGCATTTGTCATATGAGGAAAGACTAAGTGAGCTGGGCCTGTTTAGTCTGGAGAAAAGAGGGCTGAGAGGAGATTTGATCAACATGTTCAAGTACCTGAGGGGTGACTGCAGGGAGGATGGGACCAGGCTCCTCTCTGTGGTGGCCGGTGGCAGGACAAGGGCTAATGGTGTAAGTTGAAACACAGCAAGTTCCACCTCCATATGACGAAGAACTTCATCACTGTGAGGGTGCCAGAGCCCTGGAACAGGCTGCCCAGAGAGGTTGTGGAGTCTCCTTCTCTGGAGATCTTCCAAACCTGCCTGGATGCCACCCTGTGCCATGTGCTCTAGGTGTCCCTGCTGGAGCAGGGGGGTTGGACTAGATGATCTCTAGAGGTCCCTTCCAACCTCAACCAGACTGTGATTCTGTGATATACAGGTGTATGTATGCCTTATATTACAGTCATTCTGAAATGTGTATTTGTTTGAAATCTCTCTGCAAGATTCATAAATATTTTACCCTAGCTCAACAGGGGGGTTGGTCTAGATGACCTCTAGAGGTTCCTTCCAACCTTAAGCATTCTATGATTCTATGACTAGTGATCCACATTCTGGTTCCTGCTGTTGTACATGTTGCTACATTTGTGCATCAGCAAGAAACTCTTTTTTGAGCTATGCTACAGAAACATCTGTGCAATCACACTAGCTTAACAATTTATTTTTCTTGGAATGATATGTCGGCTTAGTGAAAACTGGCTATTTTAAGACAGAAATTAGATCCTCCTTTTTTTTTTTCCTGCCTCCCTTTAGATATGATGCCAACAGGTAATTTGGTATAAGCAAGAGCTAAGGAAGATGAGCACTACCTGATCTTCAGGACAGCTTTGTGAACATGGATGTACTTTCCATCCACACGGAACTTTAAGTCTGCGGTTTCTGGGCTGTCAAACTCTTTCTTCAGAGACTCGGCTACTGTTAGAAAGTCTTCATGCTCTAAAGGAACAGTTTTAAAAACAAAGAGCACATTAGAAATTTTAAATGGACACTCGCATTGCTGCAGGCAATGGTAACTGGGCATTACACATTAACAGCACGTAAAGCCAAATGGGTCAGGATCAGAAGTCTGGGCCAGCTGCAGGTCTCAGAAGCTACTGCTGGCAGCAGGAGGCTGCTACATCACCTACAAGCCTCCTGACAGAGTGCACAGTGTGCACTAATGCGACCTGAAGAGTAAGAAACACGTCACCCATCGGGCATGTTTCTGGATTGGCTGGTTGGCCGTAGCCTGCAGGTTGGCAGTTCACAGCTTTGCTGGGCTGATGTAACAGCATCCTCGACATTTCATTTTAATTCATTTATCAGCTAATCACAACAGCACAAAACTCAACAGCAGCGCTGCAAGACAGCGGACCAAGACTGTGGTATCTACTACTCAGGACACAGTAGTTCAGCACCTTTGGAAAGGACTAAGGCTGAGATCTCCAAGCCCTTCACAGGTCTTAAAAAGGCCTAGGATCCATGTCCCACAGTAGTTCCATCATCTCCCTCTTCAGCACAAGTAGGCCAAGACTTGTGGTGAAGCAAGAACCATGGGGGTTTTAGGAAACCTAACTATAATCCACTGTTTGAAGCTCCAGTTCATATAATTCACAAGTGTTCTAAAACATGTGGCTCCTAAGAAGCAAAATATATTTTAAAAAATCTACTATAATGGGAGAAGGGCTGTCTCCTGTATCCTATAGGACAGTGTGTTACTCATCCACTTATTGCCTAATCATATTTCATCATTAGAGACAGCTAAAGTAGTTGGTATTCTACAAAGTCCTCCTTCTCAGCAAGCTGCTCTAAAAGACAAGTTATGCTTATGCCTCAAAAGACCATGAATTCTTGGTTTTGCCCTGATTTGCATGGATTGTATGAAGAATCTTCATCTCAGTCAGGCTAACTAGACCAGGCTCTAATCCCCCCTGCATTCGTTCATGGGATTTCTTTTCTGGGTCATCAGCTTAGCTCAAACCATGCTGGAGATCAACTTTCACTCCAAGTCCCTTCTGCACAACAGAGGCTACAGATGAGAATGTTGCCACAGACAGTTCCAAATGCCTCATCTTGGTTTTGGCAGAGCCACCATAACTGGTAATGGAACAATAACCATGGTGAAGAGTTAGTTCTCACTAAGAAAAAGTGTAATTTTTAACCTATATAAATAAGAAGGTGTAGAGGGGAAAAGTATACTTAGAATGGAGATAAAAAATGCCTTCAGAATTAATGTATTAAATAATCAGTAGTAGGACTACCAGATTAAGAGGAGAATAATCCTCATTAGCCTTTGGGGATTATACTCTGACTAGGAAAACTCCATGAAACTGAGAATTCACCGAAACAGAGGCAATAGCATTTCAACAGCCTTCACAGCCTCTTGCAAAATCCAAGAGACCTGGAAAACTATCAGACCTCTAACAAGGAAAGATTAGCATAGATCCCAAAGGAAAGAATGCTTAGAGAATGAGGAGAGTGGGATAAACACACGACTTGGATTTACCCAGAGGCAGATCATTCCAAGCTAATCTTCTCTCTCTTTTTGGTAAAATTATTCAGTTTTCCTCTATAGACGAGATGCTGTTACCAGGACTTCAACAAATATGATAACAAACTAAATGAGAAGTTAAGATGGAGAAATCAGGTTAGAACAGGAATTCTTAGACAGCTACAGGGCTGTCTGAGATCAGACAAGCCATGTGGAAAGGTAAAGTCCAAAACTGGAGAAAGATTATAGGGAATTCGATCCCTCCACAGAACCAATTTTGTACATAAACTAACAAAATTTAGATCTTTTGTCAATCTGAAAGTAAATTAGACCTCCTATATGATCTTGAGGACTGAAATGCCACATCTAAGATCAAGTCCAATAAGCATGAAGTTCAGACTAAGCAAATTTATAGTGTGTGTATATATATACATATATATATATATGTGTGTGTGTGTGTGTGTAAGAATTGGCACCACAGCACTTGAAGATAACCAAGATGACAGACATGAGTGCATTAGTTGGTCACAACCTGCAAGGCCATACAAAAAAAGAGAGTTTCAACACAGAAAGCAATGATATTTCTTGCACGTGTACCTGTCTTTGAAGATAATCAAACTAAATCAGGCTGAGCAACACCATCTCACAAAAAGGAAACTAGGAATTCTACTTCAGCTTCCTAACATGAAATATAAGAGAGTTATCCCTTCATATTTGTGCTGAAAATGTAAATACTAGTAAAACAAAGCTAAGAAACCAACACCTGCAATTAGAAGCTGTTGGAAATCAAAGCAACGAGTCAGGAACAGTACCCCTATCAGGAAGAAATAGTTTTAGGAGCAAAAAGCTACAGTTAATGATTCAGGAGTCCCTCCCACTTCTAAGTGGGGGGCTCAAACAATACGAATGCAGGAAACTTAGAGTATTCACAGTACAGTGAATGATTCCAGACCTATACTGTCAAGCAGGCAAACTCGTTAAGGCTGTACTGGATCCCCAGCTGCTGAAGGGGGGTTCCCCTCCTCCCACCCCCCAATAAGTATTTGAGGTTTAGCACAGTAAAAGAACATTTATTAGCTAGAAGAGCAAGGAGAACTGGCAGTTTAGACTAAAAGCAAGGACCACCTCCCTCAGAAGTGACATATAGTGCTGATCACCACAAACATATGGAGCCTGTAAATCCGATTCATATTTTATAAGGATATTTACATTTATTTAGCTCATATATCCCTGCCTGGGGCATCTGAGCGCTCACCTACTGAGAGCAGGCGCCACATGACGGCCGGGGTGGCGAAGCAGGCGAACACGTCGTCGGTGCAGGCGAAGTGCGTGAGGTGGGTGGCACGCGGCGATCTCCACCACCCTGCAAACGGAATTAAACCCTTGGAAGACTCTTACAGGCATAGAGCTAATCATCTGCCAATGCCTCACCAAAATAACCACCAAACTATGCATCTCTTCTCCTGCACTGCTTTTTTGTTCTGCAGGAACTTGGATCAGTTCAAGCAGAATCATATAAGATCGGCAATGATATAACTGAAGCAATATCTAACTACAATCTATCAAAAGTCCTTGAAAATACTTTCTAGAACTTTTCAGACACATGCCATAAAGATTCTTACATTTCAAAACTGAAAGGTTAGATGGAAAACACCCAGAGAGATTAATAAGAAAGCCTTCTAACTCTACTTCAATCTGTTTTTGCATATAGACAGAGTTCTAACCTAATGTCTTCATTTTTGACATCATATCTTGCTTTTTGCTTCCTTTCTTCAATACTGAAACTCAGTTTGAAACACAGTTCTCATATGGACAGTGCTTTATTAGAGGTGAACATGCACACTTCAAACCCCAGCTGGTTTTTAAATAAAAGTCTATGAGAGAGTTGAAAATGCTGTATAGAACTTTAAATTCTCCAGTTGCTGATACACACTTATCTATTTTGTTCTTGCTATCCTGACTGTTATTTGAAGTGTTACAGGAACCAAGAAGGAACAGTTCCATTAAAAGCACTGCAAGGACATTTCCAATATCTTGGTTTAGATGAGCAAAAGTTAGGGGAAGTTCCAGACTTGGTTGAAAATAAAAGCTCTGCTTTTCTGAAATCTCCCCATACTAATATGCATTAGAGGACTTCATTAAGTTAAAAAGCAGAAAAGCAGGGAGAAAAAAAGTAATTAGTTGGGACAAATATAAATCTTTTCAAAGAACTTCATACACAAAAGTATATCGTCATTTACCAAAAAGACTGTTCATCCATATTGTTAGGCAAAACACAGAGCCCTGATTTTAGGTTCAAAAGTTCTTTCAACATAAAACACTAAAACACTCTCTGTATCAGTAACTTATAGCAAATTAAATACTAAGGGCATATGTTACATCAGCAGCAGCTTGGGCAGCACTGAGATCTCTCAGCAGATATGGGACACCACAAAGCAATCGTTTTAAGGTTCTTCCAGCTAGAGCTAGTCTCCAGACAGCTTCATGTTGCAGTATCAGATTATTCAAGTATTACAGCCCAAAAGCTTTGATTGCAGAATGTCAAAGTCTCCGCAAACCCCAAAAAGCACTGTTTCTGCCTTTATTTGCTGAGAAGAAATTAATTTGAGAATTTCTGTTAAGGTCCTAACAACTTACTTTCCATTATAGCTCCAGTAGTAGCTAAACCTTCCCTCCCCAAACTGCCCTTTCATTCACAGAACAGATCCTTCTTTCTGGCATAGCTATACTAATTTTTTATGTATTTATATGTTTTATACATAAATATAGTAAACATATATAAATACTTTACCTTCATAAGTGTACCTCTAAACAATTGTAAGATAAAGTCTAAAAGCCCTTATAAGCTGTATGTGCAAGATTTTTCAAGACAGCAAGAAATGCCATCTCACAGGGAGCTTTCAGCAGCATTGCATATAAATGCCAAGTGAATTATATAAATTAAATAAGCTGCAAGAGAAACATGAACATGCTTCATGCGCAGTGAGAGCTCACCCAGAGCTTCTGCTCCAACTCCAAGGGGAACAAAACAAGGAAGATGAGTAAGCTCAAGTCGCTTATCTTGCCCTTAGATTCCAAGCAGAAGTTCTAGGATATGTTCTCCCTCCTCCTTTAGCCACTGAACAAATGCCAGTTTTATTATGATCCCACACTCTGTTCGTGTACACCTGTAAATATAAAGTTGTCCTCAACTCACTTGAAAAATAAATCACTAAGGAAATAAAGTTAATCTGTTACAAGCATATACAAGCACCTTCCAGTGCCTTAATAAACAAACTAGCAGCTTTTTCATTTAATGGTAAGAAACAGGACAAAAGAAAAGGAATGGCCTTTCTGAAACACAGTTCAGAACTACTATAAAATGATAGCTTTTATGCTCAAATTGTACAGGAAATGGAGGATGAAATTATCCCCTACCTGACTTACAAGTTAAGAGATTTCCAAACAGAGGTACATTAATCTACAGATGTGCACATGGCTCTGGAGAATGGGACTAAGATCTCCAAGACTGTAGGTGAATAGTGCAAGTGCCACAGGATTTGGGTTTCAAATATTATGACAAAAAGGCTGCTGCAGATGTTGTGTTGAATAAGAGTTAGAGTCAATCTTTCATGGGTCAGGAGAATACAGACATTATTTAACTATGACCTGGTGCCACCATCAGCAGTGGAAACACCTGCCCTTAGCTCTAGCTACCTTGCAAACCAACTCTTGTTTATGCTGACCTCTCAAAATTGAACTCTCCTCACATACCTTACAAAAGAAGGACTCTTTGGTGGGTGAGTTTTTTTTGTGTTTTGTTTTTTTTAAATGCAGATCTCTTAGAAGCGTGCTATGGTGACTTGATGGCACTACATTTTTGATGAAAGGAATCAGATTTAGAATAACCTCATACTTAGCTATTCATTATCGTTCAACCTCAGGCAAGCGAGGATACATTTGCTTTCAATGGACAACACAGATAACAAAAAGCACTCAGTCTGAAGCACACAGAAAATGCCGTCCTCTCTTTTGCTTTTAATATTAGCAATACAAAAACAATCCACCAGGCCCAAACGTGCATGCACGCTTCTAATGCTAAAGACTACGTAATGTAAACTCACACACAACAGTCTCAGGAACAAGCTTCAGAAAGATTACCTTTCTTTTTCCATCATGATCTGCACAGGGCTTAGCTGGTTACTTTTATTGCCAGTTCCCAGCTGCCCATAAGTGTTAGCTCCCCAGGCATACAGCAAACCCTCATCTGTTAGTGCTAGCGTGTGCGCATAGCCACAGGCAATCTGTAAGTAAATGTATAAGCATTACTACTAAACAAACAAGAAAAATGAAAAGCAAAATTACTGCACATATTACTGTAGTCAAAGTCAATGCTCTAAACATAGAGAAGGTCTAACGAAAGTCTTTTTCCACAAAAACAAAGATGCAAAACAAGAAATGATTAAAGTTAGCTGTATTCTATAGAAGCTCCTCTAGAGAATCCCTGGCCTCTACTTGCTTTCAATGGCAGATTCCCCAAAGAATGAATTTCATCATCCTATTGTGCAACTCTGAAATATTGAGAATACTTTGATATCTAAAATACTAGCTGAAGTCCCAAAGCCAATGGCCCCTTCGGCCCTTTCTGAAAGTGAAGAAACTCACTACGCATAACTGTTCACCCTGAGTTACAAAGTGAATTTCAAAGATGCTTGGTAAATATACAGGAAAGTCCCAATTTCTAGTTTTAATATTTAGCTGTAAACAGACAGCCACTTTCTCACCTCCTGCTCTCCCCTCGCATCTGAGGAGAAGATTAGGATAATGCAGAATGTAGTTTGAATTCAAATCTTTTATTGCTTGCATTGATTCCTCTTATTTTTTTAGTTCATTCAGCTTTGTAATAAAGATGCAATTTATACCAATAACATCGTTTAGTTATACTAGCTGACTTTAAAGCATTCAGGTGACTTACAAAACTAAGTATTTTACTACTCACTTGCACTTCTTTTTTAAATTAGCCTGATAATTAGCCTTATATAAGTTATAGGGACCAAATGAGTTCAACATCGCAACTGTGAATTCTAGACACATGTATAAGATTTCCAATATACAGTATTTGCAGATGCTAGAAATAAAAATGCATTCATGTTTCTGAGTTAGACATACCTGGAGCACGCACACCCCATGTAATGCTGCCACTCTGCATGGTGTGAGCTGATTGCCATTGTTCCCAAGACCTAGCTGACCGTTACCATTGTAGCCCCAGCCATAAACCTGATTTAAAAAGCAAAACAAGATTGAGCTAGTCCTTTGTAGAAAAACAGGCTGTTTAATGCATTTACACAAAGTATGTATTATATATAAAAAAGCAGCAATGCAATGATTGATCGTATTCAACATTTCAATTCTACATTTACTTGCTCAAGCTGCGTTCTGAAATATTTGTCTTATAACACACAAAAAAGTCTCACAGCATCATCTTTTTTTTCCTTCCTATCCCTTCTTCCTTTTTAAAGGAATCACAAAGTCTTTTTTGGGGAGTGGCAGAAGGGAAGGGGCAGAAGAGGGGTTGACAGTTATGTAAACTTGAACTGCTATACAACACCAGAGCAACTTATAAAAGCTAGCTTTGTTTTTTCCTGATAGCAGTTAAGTAACATGATGAAGAATGAGAATTATTCAATGTACACTTGCAGAAGGAAAATCTGTTTAACTGTGCATACAAAAATCTAATGAAAACACATGCTGAAGTCTATTGAAATAATAAAGCAGCACATGCTTAATACAAGAGTTCACACACAGCTGCAGACTCAGAAAAAAAAAATTCTAATGCAATCTTTGCAGTAAAGAGTACCTTTTACTTTAAATAAGCTAATTCCAACTACGTAGTTCTCCTTAAGTCAGTCCTACAGTAGCTATCAACACATCCTCTATACCCTGAACCCATTTCAGATATTAACCTCTTAAGCCACTGCAACAGAGACAGAAGAGAAGGCAGAAACACTCACTTCACCGTTGTTTACTACGGCCATGGAGGATGTCTGACCACAAGCGATGCCAACTACCATTTTACCCTGTAAACAATTTGAAACTCTACGAGGAGTTGGCTGGTTTGCTGTAGATCCAGATCCAACTTGACCACAGTTGTTATAGCCCCAAGCATATAGCTGTCCAGTAAGAAAAACAAAACAAACAAGATAAGTTGCAGCTTAAGCCTTCATAATAGGAATAACAACTTTTGAACATACTGTTAGAATCAAGGTAGGTAAGCTATTTAAGTAGCTAAAATACTTTAATTTTAAACAACTGAAAGATACAAACAACAAGTCTGACCCAGCAAATAAAAATGCAATGTTTGTTTTTTCAGCTTATTTCTACAGAACTGGAACATCTGGCTGAACTCAGACGGAATATATCTCCATATTAAAATACAAACCGGAAAATAAGACACAGAGCTTAGTGAATAAACTTTCTTTATCCTCTCATGACGTTGCAAAAACAAACACAAACATTGCTTGTTTCAGACTTGCTGAACATCCCCTTTTGAAGCTGTTTAGTTGTTTTCAGAGGCTTCTAAACCAGCATATGGATGGACAATCACCATACTTCCTTTTACATTTACCAGAAACTGTAAAAGGGGCTATTTATCAACCACATTTTGAAGTATCAAAACTTTGTTGCCTGAAGGCATTAATAAAAAGCACTATCTCTGATAGTTTAAAGTTTGTCAGTGACAGACAGCTAACAATACAGAGAAATATTTGTTGTTTTCATCTAAGAGTCCAGAACAAAGAAAGATATTTTGCTGTAAAAACATATGCAGCTTTTAGATTTTCCATTCCTTAATGTTTCCATTTCATATGCAAACCCATAGCTTAACATAATTTTTTCCTAATAATTTATTCCGTGATGCTTCACTCACTTAAAAGTGTATCCTGTTGGAAATAGCAGGCCATGGCCACCCAGCCCCCTCACTAATATGGTGCTGACACTGATTAAGAGCTTTGATTACCCTTATGTTAAGTCTGCACCTCCCTTAGTGCCACAACCAGACCGTTTACTGTGACACTTAACCAAAAAGACATTAAAAAAGCTCTTTACATGCCAGAAGAAGATAGGTCAAAATGTCAAAGCCAAGAAGTTCCCTCTTTCTGAAGAGTATGAATGTCTGCAGCCCTGTAAATTTTAAAGGTCCTGTAGACACGAGCTCCATCATTATGGGCAAACACTTTGTTCTTTTCTAGGCTTTTCCCCAAATCAGTACTGACTGGAAATGAAGATAGCATTTCCTTCTCTTAAGCCCACCATTAGGATATTCTTTTTATCTACACTGCATTAAATGTCCACTCAAACAACTGTACAAACCAATTATGCCAAGGATTTCCGTGAACACTTTTCAACTACAATGCCCTTCTGAAACTCCAGTTACATTAAGTCACACGGGTTTCAGCAGCAAAATCTTTCTGTATATAAAACACCATGCAACACATTTGACTGCGTTCAGTATAATCAATTATTTCTGGTACCAATAAAAACCTCAGAGCACAACTAGACTGTTACTGCAAAGTATGCTAAAGGGGAGGATTTACAGCACATTAACTAGCCACAGTTGCTAACCAGCTGCAAATACCAGCTCCACAGGAAATAAAGAAGTTTCCCCACTTCCACTGAGTCTTCAAGCATGTTATGGTCATTATAGAAAGACAGGGCAGTCATTGCAATCAACTACCATCCAACATCATTTGTTAAATTAATATATGAATACCATAGCTTTCCCATAGGCAAAGGAAATTTTATAGCTTATCTCAGGCAAAGCTGAAAGTGTGACAAGCTTAGGTTCCTTATACCACCCTAATATGGTTAAAGATGGAAAAAAAAACATGGCTTCCATTTTCATGGTTAGGAAGGCTATGAATCAGAACCCCTCATTTCTCATGACAGAGCCAAAGCAGACTCTCCTCCATGCAGCTCAGAACCCAGATACACAAATACATCAAAGAAGTCTGACCAACTGGGAACTAACAGTATCTGCTTCCTATGATGGGTAGCCTTACGTCATGTAAGTCAGGTTGGAGACATAGACCAAGTGCTCTTTCAGTAGCTACACACAGAAGTACTCCAAAGTTGACAAAGTAATATTCTTTCATAATGCCAACATGGAAATCATGAGGACTACCAGAAACACTAAAGGCTAAATCAGTTACACAAACAATTAAACACGTGCCTTATATACCAAAATTGCAAACAAAAAACAAACTTAAGATTTGCGCCTTACAAAGGTTCTATGATTTGTATGTGGCAAACCTTGCTGGTGTCATCCTTAGGAGACTTTCGAAAGAAAGACACACAAAATTTACTGGCACTTTTTGTTTGGTTGGAGGTGGACTCGTGTAGGAAGGTGCTGAGTTGTTTCCAAGTCTGCTCTGAAGGAAAGGATGCCATAGTTCAAGGCAGCAGGAGAAAAGATTTTGCTCTACGCTTACTGCAGTTAGAGAAAACTTCATACCCCCACGTCACTTGCACTGTCCACTTCAAGAAGAAAATTAAGTTTGAACAGGTTTTGACTTACATCTCCATCAAATGATAATGCCATGGAATGATGAGAGCCACAAGCTACTTCCACTACTTTCTTTATTAACAGATTTGTGCAAACTTGAATGGGAGTAATGCCCTGATTGGTTGTGCCATTCCCAAGCTGGCTGTAACCATTATGTCCCCAAGCATAAACTTCACCATCTGCAAAAATATTTGTGAAAAAAATCACAAAAAAAATCTGTAGAAAGTGATAGACAATTAGAGAACAAGAACATGCAAGTGAAAATATAACAAACAGTGAGATTATTACAAGTATTTTCTGTATACTGAAAGATTAAATAATGCCATATTCATAATATATATATTACATATATATATATCACATTATAACTGCTAGATTATTTTGGAATTAAGTGAAAATGCACTGGTGAGACTGTATGTCATGACTGATACGGTAAAACTCCATAGTTATAGCAATAATGAAATGAAAGGGAAACTCATTTTACATATTAGGCGAAGCATTTAAGACCACTGAAAATTCGTGCATTATTCAGTTAACAAATCCATTCAGTTGTGCCAGATATCCCTTCTTTTTAAGCTTAAGTGGAACTTAAAAGCTGTAGTTTATGATTCCTAATAAGTGATTATTTTCTACCTTCAGTGGCAAGTACAACATGTGGCCCACTTCCATAACTGAGACTGGAAATCTTCTTTCCACACAAGGCTTCTAATTTCTTTGGTACTATTGTGCTCTGATTATCTCCAGTTCCCAAACAATTACTGCAATTCAGTCCAAAAACAAACACCTGAAAGAAAGGAATACTCATTTCAAGACATTTGAGCTCAGACATGCAGAGATGTTGTGACATCCAAAACTTCCTAAAGCTAGGACAGAGTTTCGCCAATAATTCTTGAAAGCAAATGACTTCACTTGTGGTAGTTAACAGCCTCAAGAGTCAGGATCAGGACAGTTTTGGAATCATTATCATCCTCAGATTCTCTTCTGCAGTATTCATATTTAACTGCTATATCACCATTTTATATCTGTGTATCTGCTTTTACTTAATTTCAAGCCACCACAACTTCTTTAAAAGTGCATGTAATCCATCCTGGTCTTTCTCATTTGCAAATTTTCTAAAAACTCTGTCTACATTGCCCCATGCAAGATTAAAAAAAAAAAATACAGGTTAATCCAACACTTCTATGTTGGTTTTGAAATACATAAATTCACACATTACTTTGAGAAGCTATTCACTTACAAACACTCTGTGGATTCTGAAAACAACTAATTGTAGAGTATTTGTTCCATTTCATTATGGTCTTACCTCATCATTGTGTGTTATATATATAGCTTCATTAGCTGATGTACCAAATACACAGGCTTTTCGAATAGATGATATTTCTTGAGGTGACAGTAAAGTAAATATTGGCCACTTTCCTACATCCACCATGATGCTACTGTATCTCAAGAAGTTTCTACGAGTAAGATGGCATTGCTGTAAAGAAAAACAAAAGTTTACTAAAAAGTGTATTTTGTACTTTCAGCAAGAGGCAATAATATAAATTTCCTTTAGATTAATGACAAGTGTTAGTCCCTGAAAGTATAGTATCCTATATGAAATATTTAATTACATTTCTACTAGAATGAATAAATAGCAAGTCACTGGTAGTCAAATGAGAAGAACAGACCTATAACTGTGTGTTCAAGTAAACTTATTTCAGTAACACTGAAATGGAAAACATCAGCTGTTCTGTATGAAAACATGTTAAAAGCTTGTATCAAGCAAATATCATCTATTCAATGGAAGGGCAGATTTCTGAGTTCCAACTGTAACTCCTGTTCACAAACTTTTTGCCTGTGAAATTAAAGTTGTCTTACAATTTACATATGCTACCTAAAAAAGTAGTTGAAGTATCTACAAATCCAGCAAATAAAAACAAAGCTGGGACTGTTTAATATATGAGTGAAATTTGTCATCTGTTGGGTAATTAAGAAATCTTTGTAGCCAAAACTTAAGTCTGAGAACAAGAAAGCAAGAAATAAACTTGTGAGTTTGGACAATTAAGCAGTGATACATCTCAGAAAAATAGTCAAATAAAACAGCCATAAGTAGTTACTGAGAAGCAAGCTGCACCATTTAAAAGCTGGGAACAGATGACTGGACATAGACTTCCTCTGTTAGTGAATACAGACACATACAATACGTATTTCCACAATTCTTCTCCCCGCTTAAGCAGCTGCCTCAGGACAATCACACCAGCTTAGAAATGACACGGATAGTCAACACAAACCTGCACAAATTAGTCAGGCATTCAGTCCTGCACAGAGGAAGTATAACAAAACTCCTATCCCGAAGGAATTCTGCCACTGACATTGCATAATCCATGCTCACGAGTATCAGCAAATTTCATGAAATCTTGAAAGCTCTTGGTAGAGAATTCTAAAATGCCAGTGCTATGATACAAATGACAATGACCTGTTAAAGAGCAAAGGCTAAGACCACATTCAGTGGGTGACAAAAAGTCTCTTTTCAGATGTCCACACTTTTCTTGTTCACATTTAATTCCCTCTCTTTGGTTTTTATGCTCAGATCCCACTCCATCCCTCTATCCTTTGTTTCGCAGCATTCACGTAAGGCTTCTCACCCTTAGTGCCTGGGCAGCAGATTTGAGCCACAAGAACATAAGAGAGCCCATTTCCTTTAGCTCCAAGAGCTTGGTTGTAAAAACTGTTCTGACAACCAAGACAAAGTTTTAGAGTGTTCATTCAACACCAGCAGTCAATTCTAAAATGAAGAATGTTTAATGCAACTGGGTTTTTTTTGTATGTATTTTTTATTGTTTTTAAAGAAATTGAGAAACTTTGAGGTTGTAGGGTAAATACTGCGTATTTAAAAGCACAAAAAAAATCCCCCTCCCCAAAAAACCACACACACAAAAAAGAAATCCAAAACCCAACCCAAAACATATGACTTGATTTGAGAAATCTTTCAGACAGCTGAAGTATCTCCTCACCAAATACTGTAATTCTGCTTCAGCAAACCCAGGTTTGCTCTATAAACATCTCATTAAGAAAAACTTTCCTCTACATTTCAGATTTTAAGCAACTCTTGAAAACACTTTTAAGTTTCCAGATGGCAATGCATCATATGGGTTTGTAGACCTGCTTTTGAAAGTGTACTTAGTGCCAGAAACACCTATGCATTGCACTCTACACAGCTAAAACAGATCTGAAAGCATTTAAGTATTCTTAATTTCCAATCCAGTTATAAACTCAGACTAGTTAGCTGCTGAGATTTAAATCGCAGGAGTTCTTACCTCACTCTTCAAACCTTTTAACATATGACACTACTGATCAGTTTAAATGGGACTGTGATGACTTGTTCTTATAAGTCGAGTAGCTAATCATGCCTTCTGGCTTTACTTGTTTAATTTGCCCTACTTAATATACACTTGGCAGGGCATGAACATAAACTGAACATTAAAAAAAATACATTCAGAGGCCCAAAAGCAACACAGTGCCCTTCCTGAAAGGCACAACTTTCCTGAACCACATGAATAAGAGTTAAGTTTGATCATTATTTACTTGTTCCGATAGTCACCTAGAGACGTTGACCCCTCCTATATTATGTACCATGTAAAGGCTACACTTGCACTGGAAAGCTTTTAAGCACAATATAGTAGCAAATGCAGCCCTTGGAGCCAGAGGAGGCAAACAACAGCAATACCTATTCTGATGGCTTTACCATCTTTGAAATTATCCAAAAGCACCAGTATACAAACAGGAACAGAAACAAAGATGATTGTTTGAATCACAGTGATGCTAAAAATAAGCAAAAAAGGATGACTTGTAGAAAAGGAAGCTGAACTGGCTACATGTTGCGCCAAAAAGAAACTGAACTCAGAGCCTTCATCAGCATTAAGGGGGAAGAGAATCTTGACCCGCACACATTAAAAAAGGAAAAAGAAAGAGAGGGGAAAAAAAAAGGAGCCCCCCAACCTCTAAGAGACTGAAAACCTTCAAAAAATCTGTGCTAAACTGCCACCTATGAATTCAACATTTCACTAGCTTGCTTTACAAAGGAACAATGTACAGGCTGATTATTAGCAGTATATATAGGCATATAAGCTTCCCTGCAAAAAATAAAGACAATGTTTACAAAGTGTTTTTAAAATGATTTCAGATGAACTTTTTTTCACAGCATTTATAGTTCAGCTAAACAAATCTGTGCTGGAAAGAACAATGACTTCACACAACATCCTACCAGGAAAACACTACCAGTTGTCCTTGCAACAAAAATACTGTAGTTAATTTTTCAGAGACTTTGCCCTTCTTTGCAATGATCATTTGAACACAGTTGTGTCACTTTTTCCTCATGCTCCAATTTTGCAGCTCATTCTATTTGGGCAGACTCTGGCCTGCCTAGAAAGAAATTGCTGGTTCAGGCCTGCATTTCTCCTGCTTGTTTAGGGGGATCACAAACAATATTGCGAACAACAAAAGCTGGAAGATCTGGTTGTAGAGCCACAAGAAGTGATCAGCAGACCTAATCACTTTTAGCTTCCTCAGCCATAAAAGAGGCAGACTCTGGAGATAGCACTAATCTCACCTGTATTTTCTCCAGTTTGTCTTTGCATTTTTATCTCATATTCCTGTACTAAGAGAAAAAAAAAAAAAAAGTAAAACACCACATACTATTGACATTAATCAGCTGTTCAAACTAAGTGTTTCTATTGTGAATTTTCCCCTGCCAACAGAAAGATATTACACTCCATGAAAGTACATGCTATAACTCACTTTCCTAAGACCTTGCCATAAAGCAAGATTTCTATGATAAAATCTGTACGTTCAAACCCCTGCATGGTGAGGATTTATTTGTGGATGCCTTTTATGAGCAAACCAAGGAAAGGAAAAACTGCTGATGCAGGAGCTGACAGCCAATCCTCCTATTTGCTTCTAGTAACTGATTAAAAGATATTAAAAAAAAAAAACGCCACACACAAATGATTTAACATAAGACTTTTGCAATTAAATAAATAAATAAGCCTTGAAGGATGATAAAGTAACCTTCTTATCATAACAGAAATATAATTATACATACAACATAGCACAATATCTATTTCTTTTTAAATTAGCTGAACCCTTACCATAAGGTATTTGCAATGTACCAATCACTTTGGACAAGTCATCTTCTAAGCAGCACCAATGTCTCAATCTCACTACATACAGAGAGACAAACATTCAGGAAAACATTTCTTTTAAGCCTCCAAAGACTTACTGAATCTCCTGAACACTGGTTTTCCTAACCACTTTTGGGCTCCAAATATACTTACTTAGGATAGCTAGAATCTTTCTCTCATAACTCCACTCCCAGTTTAAGTTCCTGCCAGAAGACATAAACTCCGCCTGTATACTATGTATCAGAAAAAGGATATTTTTATTTCCACTCTCCTTCCCCAAAGACTGAGCAAATATAAAGCCCCATCGCTACCCTTTCACAGAATGCCCCCCACGCCTCTTAGAGCTTTCATTTCACCTTTCACTAGCAAACCACAATGTTCTTTCCAGAGAACGTCATAAAAAAAAAGTCTAAAGCAAAATTTTAAAATTCGTTAAAGCAAATTAAAACCCTCAATTTATACTTTAAAGGTAAATTTACTTTACTTTATTTATTTTACTTTATTTATTTTACTTTAAAGGTATATCATGACTAATGCAAGTAATAGTACATTAAAGATTAAAGAAACACTAACTATTGGTATAAAACCCCAGTAAGAAAATTAAGGGTCCCTACTTTTTCAAGAAGCTGGACCTCAGCCTTCAGGAAGTAGCCAACAAAGGGAAAGGTGAGCTGAAAGCCATGAAACAGAAACGAGCTATTAAGAAGATCCTGTAAGTTATAACAAATCAGAAGAAATGCTTTTAGAAAGTTAGACAAAATTACATGAAAGACACTCCCAGACGGAACGAAAAAAAAAAAAAAAGGAAAACCCTTCGAGAAGCCACTCGGGTGACAATCCGTAAGCAAACGCCGCCAACGTTGCTTAATCGGGAGGGTATTTTCTTCTCACCGGAAAAGGTAAGGTTTGCTGAGGAATCTCGCAACCGCTGCCCAGGGCCCGCTGTGCAGCCCCGCAGCCTGTGCGGGGGCCGTTAG